CATAGGAGATCGTGGGCCGTGAGTGTGTAACGCTTGTCCATTCCCCTCACCCTGCCCCACAACGTCAGCATCATGCTCATCACCCAGGCAAATCCCAAAGGGACGAGTGTCCTTGTTGCTCATGGACATCGATGCCTAGCCAGGTCTTGGAGACGGTTCAGCCTTTGTCCGTCCTTGAGCTCTTAGTGCACAGCCAAAGCTTTGGAGGCCTGTGCAATTGCCAGACACACCTTGGCAAACACGGTTTGCAATTCATTTGCTTCCACCCTACTGCGTCTGTGCCAAGAAAGCCCCTGCAGCCAAGCCAATACAAATGGAGCCAGTTGCTGGGCACAGCTGTGAATGGCCTTGTGGCTGGCCTCGTCCTGTCCCTGAATGTGGAGCCTCGGACGAAGTTGGCAAGACCCTAAACCGTCAATCTACTCCCGTTCAGCCCTCCTCCACACGCACATCCTGCTGCGGCTTTACCCTGGTGCTTCATCGCAAGCCTCACGTCACAACTTCTCTCCTGGGGCAGCCAAAGGGCCTGAAATGCCACAACAGCTGTGTCTTTTCCGCCTCCTGCAGCACTGCCTATGGCACTCCCCGAGTCCCTGACAGTTGCCATCTGCTCGAAATCTCTCTGGACTGTTAATGCTGAGCTGGCTGTAATCTAGAGTCAGATAGCCCTGGTTCACTGGGCTCTTTCATAGATTGGCTGCAGGCAGGCGCAGGTTTTCTCTGCATAGAGAGGTCTCTCAAAGCTAGGCTGCAAGGAGGTTCTTCTTAGGAACAGAGCCAGACAAAAGTCTCTGATCTCCCGAAAACACAGACCCCTCAGGCGCTACCGGGAAGGGCATGGCATGGAAGCAGAGAGCGAGAATCTTGCTTTGGCAAGTGCCGGCAGAGTAAGTAGCAGGGTAAATTACTGCTTCCGGGACCTGTTTATTCACCCTACTGCAGGAAAGGTTAATCTGCTGCCACACTAAATGCAGCTAGCAATGTAGAGATTAATAAATGTGAGAGCTGAGTAATGAGGCCGAGGTGAGGAATGATAATTGGAGACCGGTATGAGGACAGCCCAGTCTGTTTGGCATAAGCATGCTTCCTATCCCACCGCCGGGAAATCTGATCACCTGTTGACGTCAGCCCTGTTAAAGCTGCTGCTCTTGGTGCTTCGGAGGGTGCTATGTAGCAATCAGCACTGGCCTGTGTACAGGCTCCTCGAGTTCATGTCCAAAATGCAGTTGAATAACGATCGACTCTGGGCAAGCAAACAGCTTGGAAGGGAGCAAGCCGGTGACCCTACTGATCACTTCTTGCCTTAAGGAAGGTGCATCCGATGAGGAACAGGCGTTGTTTTCATTCCTTGCCACACTAGCTCGTTCTGTAACTTACCCCCTAGGCTTCCGGGCTGCTGTCTGTGGAGGTAGCGATTCTTTCCTCTTGTAGAAGTTAAAAACTGCAAATATTCCATTTTTGCCTGAATGAAAATAGCTCGGTTGCGAGTCCTTGGCTAATGGTGAAAACGCAAGTCATTCCTCTGTCTCTCCTGCAGCTTGCCTGGTCTTGCATCGAGTGCATACAGAGTGGATTTAGAGACAGAGCCCAGCATGAGACACTCGATTAGTGGAGGTGATTGTGGGGTGGCTCTGTTTTTAAGTAACCAGTCTGACATTGGTCCTGCTGTGAATTTACCACCTAGAATCTAGAGGGCTGTCTGAAAGAGCCCTCCCTAGCTAATGGTGGTGGCTACTAGTTTTGAATAACTAGCCTTACAAACAGGCTTTAGGGCTGCTGCACATCTGGAGTTTTCCCTGAACGGCAGGAGTAAAACGTGGGCAGTCCAGATGATGAGTGAAACGCTAGCTCAGGACGGAAAAGGCCTTCCAAGGCTTAGATAAATAATTTCCAGTTAGCCGCCCACTCTCCCTTCATTAAACTGAACTCAAGTATCACAGATGTCATGTAGCTAAAGTGCTCAAACAATGGCTCATTGTTTAGCTGGGGTGAGATGCCCACACTATTGTGTGGGGTGGGAGAATTTTGCTCCTGGAGAAAGGCTTGTTTCCTGCGGGAGCAATCAGAGAAATAATACAGAGGGTTTGGAGAGGCCCCTTCTCTGATCCCGCCAGAGAGGCACACCCTACAGAGCCCGGGTGTGTCACGAAAGCTGTGTGGCGTCAGGGAGTGTCTGGAGACAGGCAGAGCCAGCCCTGGCTGCGAACCTAGAACTGGCGTCACATCTGCTTGGGTGCCAGAGAACGGAGCCTGCCAACGGATTTAGTTGAAATCCTGCTGCAGTGGTTGTAAGTTTCGGAAGAAAGCTGAGACTGTTCTAAAATCATTACCACGGCGTTGTACCATTACTACGGTGCACAGGTAAACCGATAACGTAGTTATTGACATCAGTGTCGACTATCCATGCGCGCTCTTTGGGATCTCCATGGTTCCGTGTATTACCCCAGCCCCTGGGAGTCCTGGCTGTGGACCATCACCCCTCTCTAAAAACAGAACCAACGGCACGAGAGTGCCATCTAAGTCAGGGTGTTTCTTCACTTCCCGGCTCGGAATACATCCACCCTGCGGTACGTACGGGTAAACCCGGAAATTGCCAGGCTTATTGTTGTAAACTATTGAGCGGCTGCTGTGGCCTGGGTGGCCGTGGGCTGGTGGTGGGGACAGCAAAGCGCCCGTCGAGCATAGCTTGCTGTGGTCTCTGTGTTGGCTGGGAGTGGGGTTTCTGCACTTGGCTCCACACTGACACGTAGGCACAGGAAGCAAAGGTGTGTGGGTCGGGGGAGGGGTGCGGCTCTCCCCCCAGGTTTTGGGCATCCCAGTCACATTCCTCTTGCGCCCAGGGTTCCGGCTGCCGACCCCACTGCTCCCTGCCCCGGGTCCTGCTCTGTTGCCATCCCCAAGTAAAGAGTCTTGGTCACCAGTCCTGGGTCCCAATCAGCTGCTGGCCCCGCCACCATCCCCACATGCAGGGTCCCACCCAGTTACCAGGCCCGGGGTCCTGGCTGCTGGCCCCACACGCGAGGTCCCAGGTGCTGGCTGGGGCGGTGAGAGGCACAGATGGGTGCAGGTCAGCACCCAAACTCCAAAAATTGCGCCTGTGCCACTGCCCTGACACCTGCAGGGGGAGTTCCAGGGAGCTCGGGAGAGATGCACCCCTCGTCTACTCTTCCCCAGCTGCAGGGGGCTAGGACACAGGTGGAACACAGAGCTCACAGAACCCTACGACTGGAAGGGACCTCGAGAGGCATCGAGTCCTGTCCCCTGCCCTCGCGGCAGGAGCCAGCACTGTCTAGACCATCCCTGACAGGTGTCTGTCCAACCTGCTCTCCCATATCTCCAGTGATGGGGATTCCACAACCCACTAGGGAATTTAGTCCACTGTTTAAGTTCTTCCTACTGTCCAACCTAAACCTCCCTTGCTGCAGCTTGAGCCCATTGCTTCTTGTCCTATCATCAGAGGGCCAGGAGAACAATTTTTCTTCCTCCTCCTTGTAACACCCTTTTAGGTACTTGAAAGCTGCTCTCACGTCCCCTCCCTGTCTTCTCTTTCCCAAACTAAACAAATGTTCCCACGTTGCCTCTTAGGGCTTTCTAGACCTTCAGTCATTTTAGTTGCTCTTCTTTGGACTTTCTCCAATTTCTCCACATCTGTCCTTAACTGTGGTACCCAGATCTGGACACAGCACTCCAGCTGAGGCCTAATCTCTGGTGTCCTGGTCCCATAGCCCAAACCCCACTGGCCAGCTCTAGAACATGCAACCATGTTTCTAACCAGGAATCCTATCGTTTATTTAAACGCGACCCACTGGAGGAGAAAATACAGGGGGCAAAATCTCTTGCTTCCACCAGGTTTGCATTTTCCAGCAGTGAGGATGCAAACACAGTCCTGTTCACTGTTAGGCATTAAGTTCATCTCTGCACTTGTGGGAAAGCGGCACTTCCTGTTCCCCGGAATCCTGTAAAACGTGAGCTGCCAGCAGAACGTCCTATCGCTGCTGACTATTGTTCGCTGAGAGTTTAGCGCCAGGTCCTGGGAAATGAAGGATACGAAGATTCCAAGCAACTTACATCACCTTGGAGGGTAAGTGGCTGCATGCGCTAAAAGGGAACAGACCTTCGCTAACCTCTGGCTGACTTCTAGCTCTGGTTGTTTTTCCCTGCATGTAGTAATTTTTATTCCAAACACCCACTAACTTGTCGTCTCTCATTCCCTTCTTTCTCCAGCAGCTGTAACGGTGACACATCAGCCACAATGTCTTGTTTTACGTTATTTTTGTATCTGAGATTTCACTGGCTGCAAGATAGCCCAGCTCCGAAGAGCCGGTTGGGTGGTGCTCTCCATCTGATAAATCACCTTTCCACGGTGCCATTGGTCTCCAGTACAAACCATACGCAAGAGGGGTCACTGCACCATTTTTTTGGCATAGGCCGTCCTGTCATTGTAGGTCCCAGACTTTGAAAATATCAAATGCTGGGAGAGGTCAGCTGGTAAGATTATTGCTGTGCTCACTCCCCTACAGCAGCCTTTGTGTGGCACTCTGGTTGTCGCTCTGCCCTAACCACTCTACAGCACTATTACTGCATCTTCAGACATGCTGCATCCACACACCCCAACCCGCTGAATGGAACAGGCATTTCTCCCTGCTGGGAGTCAATAATCAGAAGCAAACCAGACCTGACCTGCACACAACACAGGGCTTCTACGTGGCTGGGGACTTACATGGCCCTCATCACCATAGTAGCTCAGCCCCCCATCATTAAAAGGCAGGTGTCCGTCTGCTACTGCATCAGGAAGGAGCCTTTCCATCCGCGGTGTCACTGGCCACGCTAATTGCTGAGAACTCCTTATTCTAATTGTGTGTGCAGAGACAGCTTGTCAGCTGCTTTCTCTTCCCCTTCCATGTTAGTCACTGAGTAATTCTCGCCTTCCTCCATCCCGGCTCCCAGGCTGTAATTAACACTTTTTGCTCTGACCTCGTCCTTTAGTTCATAGAGTTATAGAGGGGTAGGATTGGAAGGGTGCATCCACACAGCTCCTTAACTCGAAATAAGAATTGCAATTAGAGCGACGCAAACTGTGTATCTTATTTCGATGCTATTTCAAAATAGCTTATTTTGTCATTTGGAGATGTCTACACAGAGCCGAATTTAGAAATAAAGCACCATTCTGAAACGTCCCTACTCCTCATGGAATGAGGGTTACAGGGACGTCGGAATAGCGAGCCAGAAATAATGGGCTTGCTGTGAAGACGCGGGATAGCTATTTCGCAATACTCCAGTGTCCCAAAATAGCGTTGGCAGTGTAGACGTAGCCAAAGGGACCTCAACTGAGCATTATCTAGACCATCTCTGACAGGTGTTTGTCTAACTTCCTCTGAAACACCTCTAATGATGATGACTCCACAGTCTCCCTGGGAAATTTATTCCAGTGCTTAACCACCCGTCTCTGACAGGAAGTTTTTCCTAATGTCCATCCTAAACCTCCATTGCTGCAATGTAAGGCCATTGCTTTTTGTCCTGTCTTCTGAAGTTAAGGAGAACAATTTTTCACCCTCCTTGTAAAAACCTTTTAAAGTCGTAATTATTATTCCCTCCAAGTTTTCTCTTCTGCAGACTGACTTTTCCCTCGGAGGTCATGTTTTCTAGATCTGTAATCATTGTTGTTGCTCTTCTCTGGACTTTCACCAATTTGTCCAAGTCTTTCCCCAGAAGTGGGCCTAAAACTCCTGCTGAGGAGGCCTTATCAGCACAGAGCAGAGGGGAAGCAAGGCACTTCTTACTCACTATCCTCCTGCTGATACATCCCAGCATGATGAATGGGTCTGGAATGGCTTCCTGGTTCCCGATGAGGCCAGTAATTCAGATCTGGAACGTAAAGGCCTCTACATTTCTGGGTCTCTCAGGAGCCAAATGAGGCCCTTGTGCACTCCAAGAGCTGAACTAGAGATCAGGAGACCCCGTATGGCCTGTGTTAGTCAGAGCACACTGTTGAGTTCTGTTCCTGCTCTGCCACTGCATAACCTTGGGCAAGTCACTTTCGCTCCCCGGGCCTCTGTTTCCCCCCGGTGGAATGGAATGAAATACTGACCTACCACGCAGAGACATTGTGAGCCTTATTAGTTTTCATTCATTAGTCCGTTGAGGTGCTCTGATGAGAGGCGCTGAAGAAGGGAAAGCCACAACTGTCTGAGAGTGGGAGGTGTCAGGCGCTCCGGTTTTGTGACAATGAT